GATTTGTGCTACTATAAAATACAATATATTTTATACCAAAATGTACAGTTTATCTATGGCATACTCCACAAGTATACTCTATACTGAGCCACTTATGTGTCTAGACAAGTATGTTACAAAAAATGTCAAAAATAAAAGTTAATTATGAGAAAACAAAATTTGATTTTTTAAGATTTAAAATGTTAATGTTCACTATAGTTGACATAATACAATTGTTTTTGGCTTTTGATATACTCAGACATTTCCCTCAACTATTATGCCACATGAAAAAATCAATGATATAATTGACAGAAAATTTGTTTCCCATGACAAAGTGTAATTTCTTATTTCAAGATATATAAGATAAGTATTGTTTATAAAAGCAAATAGTTATATTAACTCATATTTGAAACGTTAATATTTATACCAGAAATTTGAATCACAAAATAATGTCTCAGTTTTCTAATCATCCTTTAACTCAGGAGTGAGTGGAATATTATCAAAGGTTGTTCTATAGGTCTTTAATTCCTAAGCAAGTGATCAAACTAGAGAAAATATGAAAAACAGATATTTATTGGAGCCTTCTAATAGAAATCTGTTACTTCTATATGAAAATTTTAGGAGAAACAGAAGAAATAAAACTTCAGAAATTCAAGTTACCAAAACAATAACTTAAAATATAAAATTTGCTTCATTATAGCTATTTGATTAGTATGAGCTAATAATATCCTTGTAAACTGTTAAGAGTTGAGACATTCAAAAAGTAAGCTGATTAAATCTACATCAAGCATGGCTGCCATCTTGTGGGGACAGGATATAATGTATTGAGGGGCCAATCTCAGTATGGTGCTCCTTTTGAGTTAAAGTCATCATTTGTTCTCCATCAACCAGTTGTTTGACACTTATTAACATTTTTCATGAAATGACACATCAACATTTGAACAGAAAAGATAAGGCAACTAAAAGGACTATTAATGTACATGAATCCCTGTTTCTAAAATTTCAATATCATTGCTAATGTATAGACAGTAAGAAAACTTTAAAATTAGAAGGTTTTCACTTGAATCAACCTTAATAACAGATAAGTTTGGTAAAGCACTCATGTTTATTAACCATTTAAATTGCAAAATTTTGTTAGAATTTACATCTAATTGAATTAGAAGATAATATGGCATTGTCCTGATAGGGCATGTAGATTTACAGTTTCATAGAAAGCTTTGAAAAGAAGAAAGAGATTATGAGTTTATTTTAGAAGGGAGTGAAGGAAAAGGAAGGGAAGGGAAAGGAATAAGGGAAGAAGGAATGGAGAGAGAGGGGAAGAGAGGAGGGAAGGAAGGAAGGAAGGAAGGAAGGAAGGAAGGAAGGAAGGAAGAAAGAAAGGCAGGCAGGCAGGCAGGGAGGCAATGAGGCAGGAGGGAAGGGGAGGGGAGGGGAAAGGAAAGAAAAGGAGGGAGATATAAGCTATCCCTGCGAATAAGATTTCCACTAGTGTCACAGACAAAATAGTTTGACCTAGTGGTAACTGGTAAGTCAGTGTGAAGTTGACCTGAAAACAATGAGGTCAAGATAAGGCCAGAGTAAATATGTTATACAGGAATATGTAATTTAAGTACTTTTTCAAAGCTTATTTAAAAGTCAAAAAATGTACTTTCTAAATTTAAGCCTTCCAATAAATATTAGTACAACTTCTGTAACTCAATTTTCCCATCATTGTCTAGAAAACCAAGACACTGAATGAGAAAGTCCCTGAAGCCTCAGTGAGCTCTGAACTTTGATGTGCTAAGTACAAAAGTTACTCTTTCAGTCCCTCAACAAAAGGGAATGTATGTTTTTCACATCTGCAAATAAATATCCCAATTACAATTTTACAGCCATTTATCACAACTACTTGCATCTATAGATGATCAGTCTTTGCCTTTTTACAGTTTTCCTTCCATGTTCATATTAAGGTTGAAATGTACTTGGAATCTTTTGTGTGACTAGCCATATTTGTAATATGAATAATATAATCATAAAGAATTAGAAATAATGATCAAAATTTATTGTCCCATTTTGATGATTTTATTTTAAAAACCAACTCTTTTAAGTTTCAAATAAGTTGACTCATAAATTTATAGATTTTTATACTAAAACAAAATTCAAGAGTCATTAAAATTTAATTGAAATAGTTCCTTAAAATTGGCCAATGTAAGATGACTTACTGCTGTTATAACAATAAGCAGCTGATTTTTAAAATTTAAGCATTGATATTCTTAGCAGTTTTAATGGTGAAAACGAAATAATTATATGTTCCAAGAATTTTTATTCTATTACCTTGCTTTCTTTCCACAATTGTGCATGATTGAAGGAGTCAGCTTTTGTAGTCCCCTCACCAATGCAAATCAGTTTTTCTCCAAATTCTGTTTTTCAAAGAAAAAAAGGTGTATTAGTTTAAATCTTGGGGCAGTTCAGATTCTCTATCATTTCTTCAAATAATTGATGTTCATATCATGACCAATGCCTGAATGAAGTAACAGTCTCCACCTTGGAATAATAAATTAATCAAACGTGATTTACTTACATTTTATTTCAAATAGTTAATCATTTGTTATAAAACTTTAGTTAATGAGGGCTATTCTCCTGCCAATACATGCCAGAATTTCGCAAGGTTTGAATTTAAGTACAGTGGGCCAGACACATCATCCATTTCCATATAATAAGGCTTGAATTAAAGTTAAGCAGCCTTAATGAGACGAACAGACAGCTGTCATTAAAATATTTAATATACACAGCCAATGAATTCATATTTTTTCTTCTGGAATTTAACATCTAATTCACATATTATAAATATTTGTATCCAGCTAACTAAATATTATATGACAGTCAGTTTTCTACAATAGTAGAAAATATAGTTAATATATATTTATTTTATATTTATTAATTAGGAATCATTGAATGTAGAAATTATTTCAACGGTAAAAAGAATGATTGTTATTCTTGAAAAATCAAACAGCCAATGTTAAATTTAAACTTTCTTGTGTAACTTTTGGAAAGGCAAAACTCATGATTGTACTGTTTCTTCTGATTGGCAGGAGTGGTCATTTTACCTTACGGGCTTTTTGTGATGTGTCACCCAGACTCATTTAAATGTCTGAGTATTAGAACAGTGATTCTGAACTATGGCTGCATAGCAGAGCCCTCTATAGAGGCTATAGAATATATTACAGGCTGTGTCGCAAACTCCAGAGATTCTGATTAAATTAACCTTAAGTGATCATTTTAAAAAGCTTCCCAGATTATTTCAAAGTGAATCTACATTTGAAAACTACTAAACTGGAGGATTAGGGAATAATGAAAATGCTTTGCTCATAGTACACTAAAACAGATTTCCCAGAGGGGAAACATTATGAATATGACTATACAATATTTGACTTTCTTCAGGACAGATACTCATTAAGCCAGGACTGGACTAGTTAATGCTCTGAAGTTCTTCCTTATTCTAAGATACCATGGTGTTCTTTCCATGTTAAATGGTTATATTGTAATTTTTCTTGATAGACTACATAATGACATCAATTTTTAGAACGTCAATGTAAATAATATTTGAAGCAAGCTATGGGGAGTGAATACCTTCTTTCAATTCATTGTCTGAATAAGTAAAGTATAATCTATGGAACTGCATCAAAACCCTTATAAAGTAGAGTGACATTAACACCATTAATATAATCAATATTGAGTCAATGCCTACTAATGGAAACAAAAGATAAGTGAATGATCAAAATTGAGAGTAATCAGTAAATGCTTCTTGGAAGCACTGGTTTGTTCCAGATTCAGAAGGAAGTGATGAAATTCAAATCAACAAAGGGGTTCTCTGTAAAATGCTATGTTGAATAAAATGTGAATAAGCTTTGGTTTTCACTGTCAAGGCATTTATGATCTAATTTAGTAGTAGTCCTGTCTAACTCTAATACAAAATAGAGTGTGTTATGACAGTATAGAAGATAGATGGATTTATTCCACATTAAAGGACTGGACACCACTTCATGGGCAAAAAGAATTTGAACTGACTCTTGAGATAGTGAAGGAGAGTGGCTGGGAGGACAAACTGAGAGTGTGCTTTCCAAGAAGAAATATTAACATAAGTAAAAATATGGCAGCAAAACATTTTCTGGAGTGTTCAGGAAAAAGTGTAGAAGATGAATGAAAACAGCCGGAAGTCAGAATGTACAACTGTGTCTGGAAAAATAGTAACCCAATTCAGAAGACTAGAGAGAAGGGTTCAAGTCAGGGAACAAGAAGAAAAGAGGTTTGCCAAACTTGGAGGTAAGGCTTTGAAAGGTTGTGTAATGAGTTTGACATTCACACGTCCAACATTCCTAAAGAATTCCAATTATAATTGAAACAATATTATGACATTAATACCTGACCTCGACTGTGTTAACAAATCTCCAGTTTGCAATAAGGCCAGATTGATTTAAGTCAATCATTGTAAGAAAAGAATTCACAATGATCAGGATTTTATCTTAAGGAATAAGCTTGCAGAAAATCCTTTCACTGGAGACTGAGAGGCTGTCATTCAGGACTTCCTCAGCTTTTTCCATGGAAGAGAGCACCCAACTTCCTCATTCGGAATTTATCTACATAGGTTATTAAGCTACTCAATGAAATATTTTGACCAAATGTTTAACTAAAACATTTTTTCTGTTTTATTTAATTATTCTTTTTTTTTTTTTTTTTAATTTCAAGATCTTTTCTATCCTGATAGAGAAGAATTTCTATCAATAGAAAGGATTTCAGGAACCTTTCTCTATCCTGATTGCCTAAAAAATACACTGGAGACAGAAAAAAAAAAAAAAATCATTGTATAAAAGGTAATTAGCACGTTCTCTCCTTTTTATAACTTTATAATTGAAATCTCATTAAAAGCTTTCTAGGTCTCTATTTCCCTAAGTGACCAGGTGTCCCTAATTTGTTTTCAACCAATGTGACTAATTCCAGGCAAAGACTAGAAAAAAGTCTGATACCTGTTAGAGACTAGCAAGGTTAAATAAGTGGGGTGGCTTTTTTAGGTTGCATTTAACCTCGTAAAAGAAAGAAACAAGAAAAAAAAAAAAAGCTTCAATGTCTTTTCTCTTACAGTCCTGCCTTTTTCTCAGTCCCGGTTGAAGATTCCATGGGAAATGAGAGCACTATTTTGTTTCTCCCTTGTATTGCAGATAGGGGGAGGAGGTGGTTATTAGAGAGAAGCTCTTCCTCTCTTGGTTTCCCCCTCTCTCCGCCTGACAGCACCGCTCTCTCGCAGGCTCGCTCTTTCTCCTAGGTGATCCATTTCTAGGCAACGTGGGGCTGGTGCTGAAGCTGCCAGGCTCGCTCCTTGCTTCCTGCATCCCGCCAGGCGAACCGCTCCAAAAGCATCCTGCAACCCGCGGCGGCTTCCCTCCTCTGGCCCGGCCCCGCTGCTCGTGCCCGGCGCAACTCCCCCGCCACCGCGCCCCAGCAAACCGGCTCCCCGGGCCCGCCTCGCCAAGCTGCGTTCCGCGCCTCACGCAGAAAGGGAATTTTCTCTGCATTACTATCTGCATTACCTTGAAGTTCACTTTTTCTACCCCTCTTGGAGAGGGCTTTTTCCCCCCTCCCTGGTGGAATCTGGCTGCTCCGCTTGGAATCTCCTAATCTTTCCTTTCCACTTAGATTCTGGCAGCGAAGACCAGTGATTCTCTGCGGGCTCTAGGGGCGGGGGCTGGGGTCTTCTTTGGTTCGGGAGGGTGAAGGGAAGGGGGCACATCCGGTGTGAAGGGGTTGTTGGAAGTTGCTGCGGAGCTGGGACCTGAGACCCGCGGCCCCCGCGCAGCGATGGGTCTGATCTGAGCTCCAGCCTCTCCCGCTGCCCAAGAGCAGTCGAGGCTGGATATATTTTTCAAAAGCCAAACTGCAAACAACTCTGGCGATGCCAAAATTCCCCTCCAAGTGACACGGCTTTGCGAAGGAGGTTTCCTCAGGCTGGGCTCTTTCTGTCATTCCCTTCTGCCTTTCTCGGCGACGATAAAAGGCTTTGCTCTGGCAATAGGAATTTAGAAAAAAAAAAAAAAGAAAACGCTGCGCTAAACTCCACCGTGACCTCAAACTCTTTGAACTGTTTGGAAAAAAAAAAAAAAAAGAAAAGAAAAATTGGAAGATTCTCCAAGAGAATCGGCATAAGAGGAGATGGAAGTTTTCCCCTTGCTCTTGGTTTTGTCCATCTGGTGGTCTCGAACCTGGGACTCGGCGAATGCAGATTCGATCATTCACATCGGTAAGAAAGGGTTGGTGCAGCTCGTGGTTACTTTCACCGTTTCAGTTCTCAAATGTTTCCCCTTTGCTTTCCCCCTCTCCGCCCTCTGTGTGTCTTGTTGAGGTGGCTTCAGTTCATTGCCCCTTCCCGCTACCCTTCCCTCACACTTGCTCAGTTTTCTGAAAGGATGTGGATGCTCGAACCTCGACTGACTTGTGCTGTTGTTTCGCGGTGATTTGTGGAATGTGGCTGGGTGCGTGGAGGTCTCGAGTTGACCCGAGTGTGAGTGTGTGCGGGGAAGTGCAGGGGGATTCTAAGTGTGTGGGGAAAGGGAGTTTAATTGACTCTTCCATATTTTTTCCCGGATGTACATTTGCTCCATTTAAAAATTTATCTTTGGGGGAGCAGAGGAGATGTCACCTGTGAGATGACGAGAACTGGGCCGGGGGCAGGGGGTGCGGGTAGGGGGCGCTCCCTTCGGATCGAACAGGTGGTTTTGCAACGTGAGCCGGCTGAGTTCGCCGCAGCTTAGTGCGATGGTGACGGGGTGCCGGATGCGCCCCCAGCCACCCTCTCTTCTGACGTCCTCTTGGCTTTATGATCCTTGCGTGGAGTCTTTGAGATGGTGGCGGGAGGGGCTGGCGGCAGTGTCGCCAAGGACCGGGAGTCGCGTGCCTCGCCTCCTCGAACACGCTCCCCGGGCCTGGCGCGGCGGCGAAACTGGCCCCGGGGCGCTTGGGAAAAGCGGGGAAACGAATGCGCGCAGGCCGCTCCCAGGGTCTGCCTAGTAGATATCCGCCTTCCCTCGCCTCGCCTCGCCTTGCCTAGCAGTCAACTCCGAGTAGCCGCGCAAGGCAGACAGCGAAGGCGCCAGGACTAATGCGGGCCCCGACTCTGAGAAGGACTGCCGAGCCGGCTCTGAGATGCTAGTGGCCCCACCTATTGGCAACCAGACTGGCCGGGACTGGCCGTGGCGAGCGGGGGCGGGCGGGGGGCTGCGCGTCATTATCATGCACAGCGCTCGCAGCTTCAGGCACCAACTCTTCTCACTTGCTAATCCGTGAGAGCTGAGCGGCGACAGGCTCTTGCAGCCTTTTCTCCGTTAATGCGACGAGTTCTTTTTCGGAAATTCGCTTCCCGAGTCAGCAAGGTTTCTTTGCTGGGCTGCAGAGAGGTTCCTTTTGGGAAATTTTTCTGGGCACAGGACTTTTATCTGTACGCATGGCTTGGTGTTCTGCAAATTGAGGCGACAGATGGGTCACAGCTTCTCCCCTTTCTGTACCCCTGCTTCTCCACCGCGCAACACACATACACATACACACACGTACACACACTCCTGGTAGGGGAACCTGCCGCAGGTGGCAATTGTGCCCGCCCAAGCGAGGGATTTCTGTCTGGCGTGCGCGCCCACAGTGGCCAGCCTCTCAGCTCCAGGGGGCTCCCTCTCTTGGTCTCAGACGCTGTCTTTGTAAACATGTCTGCCATTCTCTATCATTTATATCAGTAGAACTGTCTGTCTGTGCAAGGGGTAATGAGGTCAGGATTCAGATAACCTAGCATTTGTGCATTAAGTAAATCAAGCACTAATAGCTTGCCTGCTGGATCCCGTTTTGCCTGGTGGCTAACAGTGCCTGCAGATTCAGAACTTTTCAGCAAGAAATTATGATCTCATTGAGTGGTTCAGCAATATTCTGATAGAGTTCAGAAATGAACTATGCTCCTTTTAAAGAAATGGCATACGTTTATATCCAGTAGTAAATGATTGGAGCGGGAATGCAAATATATAATCATAATACCTTTATACTCATTGTATGATTAGGGATTTCTGATGTAGGTTCCTCATCTCTCAGGAGGGAAAGCCTGTGGAAAAATGCTTTTTTTAATCGCTTATTCTGTGGTCTGCACGATAAATACATTATTTACAAATACCTACAGCTTTTGCTATCACTTACTGTTAAATACTATTTTTCAATGCAGTCTGGACATCTGTTTCAAAATAGAACAAAACTGTTGTGTTTTTCGTTTTGTATACTGTTGTCTGTCAGAGTGACTTGGCTTACTTATTTATAATCACATTAAAAAAAAGTAGCTGTGTACAAATTTAGAAGGTTGGTTGTATGCATTAAATGTGTATATCCTACTAGCAGATATAGTTACTTCTGAGACAATTAATTTGACTTGAATACAATTAGTACATTAGGTGAGATACTAAGCTGTTGTATAGACTATCTAATATTGTCATGGGGCTAGCAAATTGTTTCAAAATCTTTATCTTTTATAATATATTGAAAAACATTAACTCCTAAATAAAAAAATAAAAAAATGATCACGGGTAGTATGTGTGTAATTCAATGCCTCCACCCCTACTCTCAGCAAAAGTATAGTAAATTCAAAATCGAGCGTCCATATTAAAATTGTAAAGCACCAGTTAACATGAACTGGATTAGTTTACTTACTTGGTTGAATAGGAAAAGAATTAATTTTCTTTAGGAGGTGATTGCCTTCATTTAAATATTTAACGTGAGAAATATGTCTACGGGGAAATGTATTAGCTCAGGACTGAAGGAATGAATGTGATGAAACTGGAGGGAAGGGGTATTTCACTCCAGCGATGGAAGGAGATATGCAGAAATGAAAGGTTTTCCCAGCCTCATGTGATGTGTTCATGCAGAAAGTAGCTGCACTATGTAGTTCAGGCAAACTGGAAAGATATAAAGACACTGCTCTAAGAGGCTTTTTATATACTGAATTATTTTGGTATTGAACCAAATTGTATATACATGAAAATAATCTCCTTCTTTCTCTTTCTCTTCAGTTTTTACCTCATGCCAGTAGTTTAATAAGGTCAATTACACATTTTAAACTCTAATATGTTTTGTTAAACTTATTGATTCACTACAGTGATGAGATATAATGGTTAAACCATAATGATTGAAATGAAAATGTATTTATTTCAGTCAAAAATGCACAATTTTATAATTACTTTGAGTTTCAATCAAATAATATTTTAAAATATTTAATAATTACATATATTTTATAATACACATCCACACGTAGATACACAACCATATAGTATTTAAAAATGAATCACTTCCATTGTGATCTTCTTTGCCCCAATAGAAGAAAGGTCTTTTGACATATAAAAACTATGCAATTTTGAATTATGCTTCTACTTTGAGCCTATGCATTGATTGAGTAATTTCATCAGACCCACATTACTTGATTGCTTAGAAGTTTCCTAATGATCTGCATGCTGTAGGAAGAACCAAAAAGTCGTGAGTAGAATGGCAATGATATTGTGTTTTATGAAGCTATTCAGAAGTCGCTCTGATTTATGTAGCTAGAAAGCTCCAAAGTCTTTGAGATTAGCCACGCTGACTGCTATTTTCTTCATACAGCAGTCGTCCCACACTCTTTACTCCCTAAACACAACAGGAGTTTAGAGCACTGCTTTAATTAAGCAGGGATTAGGTGGCATTTCCAGTCAACTGCACAGTTTGTGTTTTGCTTCATATCAACTATGGAAGATCTCATGCTTTAACAGTTTAATATATGCTCCTTTCTTTATCTGGTTCCTGTGCTCACAGAACTGATTGTAAATTAGCTCTCCTCAGTTATATATCTCTACAAGGGAACACTCAAACAGTGTACTTATTCATATATTACACAAATCACTAGCATATTTTTGTTGTTATCAGTCATAGTAAAATACCTTATGTCAACATGGAGTAGGAAAGATGCATTTATTCATGTTTTTCTCATAAACAGATGATACTTTATAGTCTGAAATCATAATCAATGGTGATATTATGTTTGAGACACACAAGACAATCCACGGAATACTTTTATTATGAGAATGTTCAAATTAAAGTACAAAATCGGGTAAATAAAAGGTGTCAACACATTAAAAACAATAATAGATTGTAAATGTAAAATACCAGTTATTCTTACTTCTGCACTAAGGATTATTTTGTCAATTATAGAATGTAAAAGCTTTCCCAGAAGATGTGCTGTTGTTCTACCAATTTTTTTTTTTTCAGTTGGCTACATGATTTGCATTGGTTAATGATAACCCCTGGGACTCCTCAAGGATTTTTTGGATTGTGTAAGATGTCTCAATGATATTTTATCCTTTTTCTACTTTTAGTAGTTGTTTGTTCCTGAAGTTTGTGGTAACCGTGTAAACTTCTAGAAAGTACTAAGGGACTTGGCTTTACTATTATTCTCTGTATCATTAATACAGTTATTTGAAGCACAATTCAAGTGTGTATTAAGTTAGACAATGTTGTTATTAATCAAAGATATCAACTATGACATGACTAATAAGCCATTACACTAAGGGCCTTTGCTTTCTACTCCAGGTGAAATGTACATCCACTAAATATCTGTTATAAATTGTAAGACAAATATGTATAAAAATCAAGGTGATTAACTTTTGATTTATTCAAAAATAAAAGTCAGTTGAAATGGTTAGGAGCAATGGAAGCTACACTTTATTCCATTCTGATATCTTAGGCTGATTTTATCATATGAAAATTTTATCTTAAAGGGTCATTGCAATTTTAAAACCACACTTTTTAATCTAGAAGTTTTTTTCTTCACCTATGTATATTACTTTATTTTAAAAAGTAAGATATTCACATTTCTGTTGGATCATCATGATATTTTAGATTATAGACAGTCTATTTGTCTATTTTAGATTATAGACAGCATATTGGTGAGTAAAGTAGCAATACTTAGAAAGTATTACTATAGGATAATGTTTATTAGAAAATACATTTATGGCTTATAAAGATATCTTTGCCATTAGGTGTCACTGCATTCTGAGCTGTTTTTATTATTATTATTATTACTTGAAAACCACATGAAATATTTTTAAAATTCTCAGGAAAAAAGTAATTTTAATGAGTTTTGTGATGCTGTAAGATATAGGTAGTTTGTATTTTCAAACTAGAAAAATATTATCCCTGTCTCTTATTCTTGTAAGAATTTAATGCTAGGACATACCAACACACCTGATA